TCAATATTTACTGCATTATTATGAAATATAATCAGTTCAAATAGTTAAAAATGTCATAAAACTTTGAGTCATGTATTTTTCCAAAAATACTCATATCAAAAATGTGATGTTTTTAATGCCTAATTAATCATTTTTTATTGTAAATACTAATAAACTGTTATGCATGTTTCATAATTAATTAAATGCAGTTTAGATCTCTTTTCCCAGGACACACTGGCTTCAAATGACCTATGAACTGTGTTACAGGACCGAACATGCAGTACATTTTCATGTTCCTCTTAATAAGACAATGTACAAAGCATTAAACTCACAATTGTAAAGACAGAATTCATATTAGTTAGCTTAGGTATTATAGGAGCACAACTAAGTTTCTATATCAGTAAAGACTAAATCATAACAGATGTGTCTCAAGTATATTATTGTCATGTATTCAAAACACCGCCGGCACCTCAGAATAGGAAAAAATGGGGAAAAAAGTCTACGCTTCATCATTGCCTGAGAGTAAAGAGCTTTTGATCTTTCAGTTTGTGTTCCTGTCACCCTGAATATGTGCATTAGATTCGATTTCACATACTGGTAGTGCCACACAGAGCTCTGCCAAGCACTCACACACAAAAAAACAGGCTCTGAGAGTGTGTGGTGGTTGTGTGCATGAAAATGCTCTCAAAAGCCATTTGGAATCGCAGGTCTCAAAGAGATTAAGCAAAATAAGAAAGAGTCAATAAACCAGTTAGCCTAATAAATTAAGAGCTGATTACAGACGTTAAATATTTATAAAAATTAAACAAATCCTGTTTACAGTATTAGTAATGTTAGCAAATGATAAAGCTTAAACAATGCTCTATAAATCTCAGCTAATTAATGCTGAAACAGCAGCAGATAAAAGCATGTCTCAGAATCACTTACTGTGTTAAAAACAAAGGCTTCTGCACCTAGATCATTTAGCAGCTAATGAATTGGCCTGTAAGACAGACTATATTTAGAACAAATAAACAAATCTTAAAAGAGCCCAAAAGGGGATGTGCTTTCAACAGAGGGATAAAAACATACAAAACACACAAGTATACAATGTAAGGAAAGAAACATATCTTGTGCCTCTTGAATCCATACTGCCCTCTTGTGGTCTCAAGTACAGTAAGGGTTTTGATATCAATGCATTTCACAAAGATAAAAACATTTTCTGACAAAAAAATTAATAAATAGCCAAGCATGAAAACTAGTTTTAATCAAATCAAACACCTGTATTCTCCACCTTAAGATAGGAATTTCAGCATGTCTCACCCTAGCTCATGATTTTTTCAACTGCATCCAACATTTAAAATCATACAGTACATCTACTGAAATGGCCTTCATTACACTAATAACATTTTTCCGTTTAATAAAATTATTTATAATGGCATCAGTGACCATTTACCTATTTTTACTGTCTATCACTGTAAGTATTGGAAACCTAAGGTTATTAGTTATTTCAAATATAAAAGTGTAAGAACTGTAAAAAGCAAATGCTTTTAAGAAAGAAATATTGAAACAAAACTGGAAAATATTATATGATGAAGATGATATTGATAAAGCATATAATGGATCCCTAAAGATTTTTCATCACTGTATGACAAAAACTGTCCTGTAATACAATATAATAATAATAAACAAATGCAAATAAATAATCCATAGATTACTTAAGGATTATTAAATCCCTACAAAAAGAAAAACACACTGTATAGACAATTTATTAAGTATCAAACCCCAGAAGCAGAAAAAAATATAAAAAGTATAAGAATAAATTAATTAATATTATCAGAATGTGTAAGAAGGAATTACTTATTAGTTTATACTAAAACGTTATAATATAATAAATATTAAAGGTTTATGGAATATTCTAAATAGTATAAAAATAAAATTTTTAATAAAAAGTTACCCGGAATATTACACTGGCAATGATAATATAATAAATAATAAGGAAGAAGTGGTTAATGGTTTAAAAAAAAACACTAACACTAGCTTGCTCTATTCTTTTTCTATTCTGTTTTCTTTTTATTTATTATATAATTTAAAAAACAAAAACAATAGCTGTGTTAAGCTAACTGAGACTTGTTATAGCACTTGCATATAATTGCTCTCTTGTTGATTTTGATTGCTTCTATTGTCCTCATTTGTAAGTCGCTTTGGATAAAAGCTGCTGCTAAATGACTAAATGTAATGTAAATGTAACAAATTCTTTGTAAATGTGGGTCTAGACTTGGTAAAAAATTATAAATGAGCCAGAAACAACAGAAGCGGTGGATGTTGATTTTTGGAATAGAAATCCTATCTCTATTTTTCTTAGAACAGTGGATAGTGAGGAGATAATGGACATTGTAAGAAAGAGTAAAAGAAAATCCTCCATGGATTGGAATAACATTGATATGATTATAATAAATACGTTACTGAAGAAATTGTAGAGCCCTTAACTTATATCTTTAACTTGTCCTTTCAATCTGGTAAATTTCCAAATAAAATGAAAATTTCAAAAGTAATTCCATTATATAAAACTGGGGATGAACACCATTTCACAAATTATAGAACTGTTTCTATACTCCCCCAGTTCTCCAAAATCCTTGAAAAACTTTTTAGAGAAAGACTGCATATTTTAATTGATTCATTAATTAAGAGAACATTTTAACAATAAGTTAATGTCAATATTTCCAACTAACATTTGGTACAACATTAACAAGCCTATAATGTGAGACAGTTTAATTTAGGCAAAATGCAACCTTGTTATTCAATTTGATATGTTTATATATGTTTGATATGTTTTGTTTTGTTTTGTTTTGTTTTGTTTTTTAATTTAGCGTATTTAGGAATAGAACATTATATATTTTTTATTTATTATTTTTAAATACACTGAGTTCATTCATTTTTAAAGTTTATATGGTATAGAAAAAATAAAATAACTAAATTCCACAAAACAGCATTAAACAGTATTTAGACCTAAATTTAAGTTTGACCTCCTGCTTATACATTGCAACCTGCAAATAAAGTTTGCCATTACATCACCTGCTGAGGGTAAGATCAGATGAGCGCTAAATAAAGCCCGGCCCCGGCCTGTTTCAGTATCGGTAAGAGCAGAGGAGTCTTAAACTAAAGATAGACACAGAGCAAGGATCTAAAGCAGATCCACTGCTGTCAGGAGATCGAATTAATCATTCAATTACCGTGCATGTGACTCCCACTGATTTACACGTAACAGTGTAACACAGGTTTAGCAAAGACACTTCATAAAGATCTAGGAAAAGTTATGCAACAAACTTTAATACTTCATGTTTGGTGTTAAGAAGCATTACAAACAAGAAACACATGCAAAATAAATTTTTGCAGTACCTACAGTAGACCACAAGATGTCACTTAAAGCCCAGCTCAAACTGAAGCACAGTCCATTATGTAAACTGAACTCCTCCTCCACACTATACAACTACATCAGAGGAACAACCCTCAAGTATGATAACAATGACTCAGCTGCTCTCAAATGTATATATGCTGCGATTACATAACGTCTGAAGTCAGAGTCAAGTCAGCATGTCAGTGGTGTCAGTGCATTTGTGTATCTGCTACAGGAGTCTGGTATTTCAAATCTGATTACTGTTTCAAATCCAGCCTAACTCTTTCTGCAATCCACTGAGCTAATCTGACATCATGAATCAAAACAAACAAAAAAAAAACAAAAAAAAAATAAATTAGGACCAACATCACAGTCTGCTTCATTGGGATCAAAAGCTGGAATGTTAAGTGGCACCGTTCCGCATTCCCACCCGATCAAGGGCTTTGGAAACAGCAGAGATAGAACAGGACCTCTGTTAAGAACGGCGGGACCCGGAGTCAGACTCCTGCAGAGTCACGAGTAAGAGACACAGAGACTAATCCCAAATTAGCAAAAAAATAATTAGCAGGATAGGGACAGAGAGATCCGGTCACACACACAAGTGCACATACTAACCAACAACAAGTAGTACAGAAGCGATGGGTTATCGAAAGGCACAGCAGAGGAAAGATTACAAACACCCACAGAGTATGGAACAGAACAGCCTTCTACAAGACTTACAGAGCCACATTCAGTCACACTGTTGTATTACAGTTTTATAATGTGAGAATAGTTTAGATGTGGTTAAAATCGGGCTGGTAACAGAGGTAAAGTTATTATTACTATTATTATTAACCCTTTAGAACCTAAAGCTAAAATAGGCCGTTTTTCGCTTCCTCTCTTGTAAAACCTTTCTTCGCCATGTTTTCGTCCGTTTTTTAATTATATTTTGCACTCTCAAACTCTCTAACCTGCTGCGCTCCGTATCTCCCGCTTCAAATCCGCCCTCCCCCCTCTCCCCGAAAGCCGCTGTGATTCGCTAATGGAAAGCATGCAATTACCGTATTAAGCCGTATATTGTCATAAAGCGCAAGATGTCTACTATCGGGAGCAATTTGATTTTTTTTCATAGTGTAAACGGTTAGTGAGTTATGATAACATGAATACAGCATGGTTAATTGTGTCGCCGCCGACACGTTCGGTTTTAAAGGGTTAACAGCCAAAAACATGGCATTACCATTTACATGGTATTAAAATATTGTTTAAATAATACTAATAATAATAATAATAAATTAGCAAGAACAATCATATCAAACAATAATTCTTATTTTATTATTATTATAAGCAAAAACAAAATAACTTATTATCTGCAACAACAAAAAATATTATAAAAAATGAATTATTATAATTATAATTATTATATTATTATTATTTAAAAAATTACTAGTTATCTTTATTCACTAAATTTCCTTATATAATTTATTCTTAATTTTATTAAATGTATTTAAATGCTTACTGTACATTGGAGCTTGTAGAAAAATGTATGCTAAATGCATAAATGTAAATGTAAATCCCAGGTTTTGATATCACTACACCACAGTTCCATCACAGTACTTTTTTCTATGGGTAGTTCAAACTCTTTTTGGGAGGGTATGTGTATACTCACAATGCTGTTGAGGTCTGACTCATAACTGCTGCAATGGTGTATGTGTGTGTTGTGTCCCAGCGGCTCCATGCCCTCCTCATCCCACATGTATGTTCCTCCAGAGCTGTTAGAGGGGGAGAGCTCCAAAGAGGAGGTCGCGTGACGATCCACGTCAGGGGACATGAGCGGCGGACCACGGAGCGGATCACTTGAATCTGCCTTGCCACCTGAGAACAGACATGGTATAACATAGCATAAACTCTGCATGCTTGCCACAATAGGATAATTTTATCAACACTGTACTGTTTGTCACATAAATGCAAGAATTAGATGAATAACGTATAGCTATACCTGCCAGACCAATCCCAGTCCAGTCCATGGTCTCATTTAAGAATCCCTGCAGGCGCATTTGGGTGGAAGTGGCCACAGGATTTTTGTTAAGAGGGATGCCATTCTCCGACTGGTCCCCTAGATTATCAAAGTCATCTAGGAACTCTTCACTTGTGTCATTCCTCTCCAGAGAAGATGCAGAGGAGAGAGACATGTCCTCCATACCCTCCCCAGTGTAGCGGAGGTTCCCATCCAGCCCTGGCTCTGTCACAGGCTCCTCTGGGGAATCTGTGGAAGCTGATGCCTTTTCACACATACAACATGGAAATAAAACTATTTAACTGCAATGCAATCATGTTTCGATAGTTTGACTTCTCTGTGGTGGCACCAAAATACCCCTTTTGCTCCAGTAGAGCTACTAATAGCTATGCAAATATTATTAAATTTAGAACAAGAACACTGACTGAAAATAAAACATGTTTTATATATGGCATAATGATTTGAGACACAATAATAAGCAACAAATCATTAGACAACAATAAAAAGCATTCACTATGAAGTCTCCATATTAAATTATAATATTAATAAATAAGAAAATTGTGAATATCGATAAAAAGACAAATCTGACATTCACAAATCTGACAATGCTACTTCTCTCATGTCCCACAGAAGAAAGAAAATCATTTGGGAACTATTTCTTGAACTATTGCACAAAATATTAGACTGTAATCCAAAATATTAAAATATGCATGGTACTGTAAATTATAGAGTCAGACACTTACGTTCTTTGTGGCACAATGGAGCAACTCAGGAGTGAGAGGCGGGGTTATAATGTCACGCTCCACTGGGCCCCTCCCAACCACTAGAGGGCACTGCGGTTTGGCAGGAATTGGTCGATTTAGCCTGTAGGCCTGTAATGAGGGTTTTGTCAGCACAGAGTTAGGCAGAAGAGGCCTTTTTATGGAATTAGGAGGTGTTAAACTCTCTGAAGAAGGATTCCCAGAAGGTAGTCTATCTGTTATCCCCTTTTCAAATCCCAGGTCCCCAAAACCGAGCACTAGCCGGCCTTTGCTCAGGCTCAAAGGAGATTTGAGTCCAAGTGTTCGCGGAGGACGAAGCTGTGTATTAGTTAGCGGTTTGGCTAGCTCCACAGCCTTGTTGAAAGAGAAGGAGCGCGTCATGGGTGCAGTGGACGTTGGCGAGGGCAGTTGCTTGAAGTGAGTGAAGCTCTGAGAACGCACCATGTAGTCAGGCACGAGCGACTGTCGTGAGAGGCTGTCATTGGACTGGGACAAACTGTCTCTAGAGGTGCTTCGAGTAGAGTTAGAGTTCACCCTTGGTCGCTGAAGCCCCGAAGAGCTTGCTTGGCCCGGTGAAGACGCCAGAGATGAAGTCCCATTTTGAATTGGCTTGGAGCCTGAGCTTTTTTGGGATATGTCCTGACTTTTGGAGGCTGTCGTAATTTGAGAGTATTTGGGCTTTGGTTTAGGACTCTGGATGGATTTAGGGGTTTTGGCTGCAGGTTTAGGGCTTCCAGTGGACAATGTGGAGGCAGACCTGCGCACTTTGGTTGAGGAAGTAGAAGGGCTTTTTAACTGCCTACTTCCAGGAGAATGTTGGGAGTTAACTTCTTTCCTCTCTTCTGGTATCGTGCCCTCAACAGGGTTTGAAGGGTCCACCGGCCCACCACTATCCTTTCTCCATTTTATGGAGAAGGAGGAGGCTCTGACCACTCCATTTGGCCTAGCTGGTGGATTCTTGCCCTCTTGCGTGAGCGCAGTCTGGGTCGTACCATTGGGAAGGGATGAGGGGGTACCATTGACAGGACGGGCACCAAATTTTGGCAGTCTGGACACCATGTAGGACTTACTGAAGACCTTCTGTTCCATCAGCAAACAGTAGAGTCATACATGAACACAAAAGAGACACCTGAAGAGAGAGAGGCACAAACAGATAAGAGCACATTTTTTGTGAAAATTATTAATCATCTAACTTGTGCTTAGACAATACAAAATACTAATTAACAAAATAATATATAATATATAAAATAAATACTGCACTGTAAAATCAATTTATGAGTAGTTGACATGAAATCCATTTGTTCTGTGGAGTGATGTATTATCTTAAACTCTCTCAAACAGCATTTGATAATTATTTGATAATTATGCATTAAGATTTTATGTCCTCAGATTACTTAATAAAACACATTCTTTATTTCATTTGTAACATTTGTCACACCACATGATTAATTTGGATGAACTAGTCAATTTGGAAAAAAAAAAGTGTTTAAGAAATAGAACACAAATAATGAGGAGCAAATGTAAAATCCCTTGGACTGTACATTACATACTACATCTAAATTTTATTTGTAGGAAACAGAACAACAGACAAAAATACAGTATATTAACAGAAAAAGAAACAAGGTCAGCTTCTCATAAGTCATCTAAATGATCACATTTACAGAACATGGACCTCTGACTCCTAGTTTTCTAGTCCGGCATCTTAGTAACTTAGTAAATAAAGCAACTGAAGTAAATTAGATTGTGTAGCTAGCTGTATTAATGTTCCCGTGTTTGAAAGTAAGAAGAGAAAAGATAATGTCTTGGCAGAAAATTACCAAACGTTTTTCTTACATTGTTCCTTGCATTGTATTTCCTGTAGTATAACATCCCCTTAACCTCTTATACAAAATAGCCAAACACACAAAACAATGTTAGGGGAAAAAACAGCTTTCAAATGTACATCAAAACCCACTTCCTGTTTTACAATAGTTAGGGCATGAAAAGAAGTGGCAGGGTTTTGTCTTTTAACTTTTGAACGGAATACCCCCAGTCTACAGTTTTTTTTAACCATCATTGTGTGATCTGGTTGGAAAGTTTCACAGCACGTGACAGCACAGCTAAATCAGGGTGAGCAAACAGGATGTGTTTAAAGGGATGAGCAGGACTGAAGCTCATGAACCTTAATATCAACAGTCCTCATGGTGCTGGTGCATGTGTGTTTGCCATAGATGGCATGTTATGTCATTGCAGACACAAAAAGAATGTTTTAATGTATGTTTAGTGATAAGTTTATAATTAATAAATTATTTATTTCAGACTTATAAGCTGGGACCAAATGAACCCTTATTAAACAATATTGTTATTTGCAGCTGGCTGCTGACTTTATTAAGCAACTGCAACACAAATGTACTGCATGTTTAAATTAAATTCACTCATGCACTTAATGCTTATTTAATTTCAAATGTTTTTTATAAATATGCTACCATTTAAATGGCTGATAAAAATAAGTATTTATGGAACTGTAAAGAAGTATACAGATCAGGAGAAAAAAGAGGAGAGTTTTTATTTCACTCTTTTCCGTATTGATTTCTTTTTTGGTGAATTAAATCAAAGGCTAAAACCAAAACAAGTGAATTCAAGAGAGATGTTCTGGGCTAAAAACCAAATCCTGGCCAGATGAATGGTGCCTCTATAATGTCCCACTTAGGGATGTTCATTTTAACCGCTTAACCAGTTAACCGACGGTAAGAATTCTGACCGATTAATACAATCAGTTAAACGGTTTAAAAAGTCATTTAATACAAACATTTTAATAAACACTGTAAACATAGCTAGGCTATTTTAGTTCCCCTCACTCCACAACAAATCCTTTCAATTAACAGTATTTAGAAAATAATTAAAGAATTAAAAATATAAGAAGCTATAGCAATATAAATGACAAGCCAAAACGAATTCATTTAGGTTCAAACGAAACTAAAACCAATGCTGGGTCTCTCATTCCACACAAAATCAAATGTTTCTGTATTCGCGATGTATTTGAAGGCAAATTATTGTTTATTTTTGTACTTCACACGCGTTCCAATATCCACGTAAAACAAAATGTTTTACATCACGGCGGTACAGTGATAACACTTAACCTTATTATTTTTTACTACATAGTTTTTTCCATATGTTTGACTGACTATTTTATTATGATAATGAACAGGCTGCATTGTCAAGGTAGCAAAGCTTAACTGTGTGCGCGCATGCAGCGCCGGCGCAATCACTTACATTTTTTCCTTCTAACAGTGGAAGAAACTACTCCTTTTAGTCCTAAAGATGCGCAAAACCAGTGGAGGAAGAGAGGGGAGAATACAGTGACCTTTATTCACACGATGACCCACATTCTGTGATGAGAGACTATACTAGCAGTCACACGACATAGAGAGAGAGCGAGAGCGAGAGCGAGAGCGAGAGAGAGAGA